GTTGCAGTTTAATTTATTGGTAAAAAATAATGTCTTCTGCATTCACATGGCCTTAGTTTGAGTCCCTATTCTACTACATTCCAGCACTTAGACATTGGCAAGTACTTTGCTAAGCCTCAGTTTCTTCATGTGTAAAATGAGAATAATAATAAATCCCTAAACCAGAAGCCTATCGTGAGGACTGAATGGGATACCATGTGAAGTGCTTGGCCCAGTACCTGGCATATAGCAAGCCTCTAAACATTAGTTAATATCAGACTCTGTATGCAATAATTTATCCTAAATATTATTGCCAGCATCATTTTGTTTCACTCTTACATGAAAGCCTTCCCCATTTTCTACCTAATGAATTCTTCTTCCATCAATAATATGACCCAAACCTGCTGCTTTCCATAAACATCTTACTCCAATTATAATGGCCCATCCACTGGGCATTCTTCTATGCAACTCCTTCCTCAGAAGAACGCTTTCCTGTCTATATCTGAGTCCTATCTTCCCAATAAATTCCGATAATTCAAAATAATATCCGAATGCTTCAACCAAATATGATTTCTTTCAGCCCTAAAATCCTAGGTAATAATTGTCCTCATTAGTGATACTATTTATACAATATATTTGCTTGTCTATACTGCAATTTATGCTTATTTTAAATATTCAATTAGACTAATACTTTTGAATATCTTCTATTCTCAAAGCATTAGTGCTAGCCCTATGTGAACACAATAGTAAGAAATAATTCTCACTTTAATTGCTCTTACAACTAGTGAGAAAAAAATTCAACACATATCCATGCTATCATGGACATAAATGCTACTACTCTTTAAATAAATTTCTTTAGATTTCCCCAACTGGATGTAAACTCTTCCTTTTAGCCTCTACAGCAATTTTTAAAACAGCTTTCTTTGACTTTCGAAATGACTTTTAATTAGTGGGTGAGATTTCAGGAATAGGTTAAGGCTGTATGCAGTGGCTCACACCTGCAACCCAGCATTTGTGAAGGCCAAGAGAGGAGGACTGCTTGAGCACAGGAATTTTAGACCAACCTGGGCAACACAGCAAGACTTTATCTCTAGTCTCTACAAAAAATACAAAAATGTGCCAGGCATGGTGGTGTGTGCCTGTAGTCCCGGAAACTAGAGGTGGAAGGGGGCTGATGTGGGAGGATTGCCTGAGTCTAAGAGCCCAAGACGTCTAGTTGAGGCTGCCAGGAGCAGTGATCATGCCACTGCACTCTATCCTGGGTTTTTAAAAAAATTATAAGTTAAAACTAGAAAAAAAAATCACAGCAATATAATAAAGAAAAAGTTAAAAAATAATAGAAAAAAGGTTTTGTATAGACACAATTGATTCAAATTTTGGATTTGGGTACAGTTAATTGTCTGACTGTCTGATCCTATGAGTATATCCTACTGTCTCTAATCCTTAGTTTATTTCTCTGTAAATGTAGGTAATACTTATTCATTTGGAATGTTATGAGAATGAAATTAATTTTTGTATAATGTACAGAGCAGGTACTCAAAAATAATTGATTTCTATAATATAAAACAGAATCTTGAGTTTGTGTAAGTAATCTGAGAGGGGAGGAGTGAGTGGACACCAAAATGGAAAGAAGCTAGAAATGAGACAAAGGGTAAAAGAGAGATGGGAGACCAAATTGGAAGGAGGTTTGGGATTGAGAAGTAAAGGCGAAGGAGGAGTTCTCTGTGGTAGGCATGGCCAAGAAACTTTCATGAACAGGGAGGTCTAATGCTTAACTGTGTGTTGTTTGCTGAGCTCTGTCGAAATAGAACACTTTCTTAACCTCCAGATTCTTAAGTGAAGGTTCCAAGGTTAAGTGATTCTGTTCCTCGTTTGGGTGAATGCCCAGGAAGAATGGAAAAACAAATCCATATGGGAAGAGAGATTAGAAAATTCGAGATAAGAAATAAGAACAAGAGCGAGCTAAGGAAAACACAGCCCTTGAAATATTGTGGTATATTTTCTAATATATTTTCTAACTGTATATCATGAAGTGGAGTCTAGAACTAGTATCATTTATTTACCAAAGGGCAGAGGGATGAAGCATTCTGAAGATAGAGGGGCACCAGGAAGATGACATCTATAACGAGTAGCTAGATGGAGCTATGACAGAAGAGGAGATGACAACAATTGGGAGATGAGAATGCTCAGATGAAAAAGATTTTGACACGAAAAATAACTGAAGTGTTTTTGTTTGTTTGTTTAGCAAGATGGTTGATGTATTGGATGCATGAGGGCTGAGACCCAGAAGAAGAGTATACCAGTTTGGAACTACTGGAAGAATTGATCAAAAACTTAACAAGGGTCAAAGGATGGAGATGTACAGAAAGGAATAAATCCAAGCTATAATACAGAAGCAAAATCTCCACTTTCTGGCAAGTTATGGGATTTGAGATATGATGAAGTACTTCACCAGTTATTAGCCTAGGAATTTAAGATTAGATAACTGAAGGGATGGCATTTGCACAAAGCAAAGCAAGAGTAGGACAAGGGAGTGACAATTGAAGACACATTTCTGACATATGTAAGTTTGTTCTCTCAAATCAGACCATAAAACTGTTTCGTGCAAAGACTAGCAGAGTACTCCACATAAATGTTTCTTAATGACAGTCATCTATTGTGGGTACTATCCATGGTCTCTTTTTCCTTAGAAATTGAACCCATAATTTTTAGCTGGGCACATGGCTGCCTAGAATAAACACTACATTTTTCAGTCTCCACTGCAGCTAGGTAAGGCCATGGGAGCATCAATACACCAGCCAAAAGTGAAAGAATCTTTAATCAAACAGGGTGTGTCTTCTTAATTGTGTGGGGCTCAATTATCTACTCCAGACTGGATGATGGTGACCAAAATAGAGAGAGTCTGGTTCTCTGATAACTTCATGAAGTCTCCCTATCAGCTATGAACTGCTTACCTCCAGATTGCCTTTATATGAAAATGAAATACACTTCTATCTTATTTATGCTATTGCTATGTTGCATTTTCTATTTGAAGTCAAGGTAATTTACTCTATTATAACTTTGAGTTTTTACTATTTGCAGCCATGTCTAATTCTCTCTAAAATAACTTCCTGGATAATTTTTGCTATTATCTTCAGTTTGTTTTTTTCCAAAAGTTTAAAAAAAAATCACTAAATATACTCTTTTTAACATTTAGAAATATTCTGAAATGCTGACAAGACATTCTTCACATTTATTTGTAAAAGCTTTTAATCTGATAAGTGGCATGGTAAAAACATCCCTATAAGTACAACTTTGCCTACCACAGAGGCTTATTGGAATATCAGATGTTTGATTAATATGTTTGCTAACCAAAGAGATCAACCAAAATTCTACTAAAAACAGTACTTATCGTGGTCAAATCCTAGGCCAAGGCCATTTAGCAAAGTGGAAGTTTGACTAAACCTGCAGAGACTATAGCCACAGTCAGCAGAGAAAAAATGGGTCTACTTCTTCTTTCCATTGAATCCATACAAGTCATTGTGGATACTTAGAGCATTAGAATCAAATTGCATGGCACTTGCTTTTAGTTATTTGCAGAAAGTTAAATATTTTAAGTCTTTTGTTGATAATTTACATTCTCCTACTTTTTACTCTGGAGTGTACACATTGAACTGAGAACTATAAGCCTATAAAAATACTATCCTTTAACTGCTTTTTCTCACTTAGACAATGCTTTTTTTTAGACACAGAAGAACTCCACAAATCATTAATTCCATACTTCTTGCTCTACAGATGATCCTAAGAGATTAACACATTTAACTAATTCTTTCTCAGATTAATTATTGATTCTTTTATTGATTCATTCATTCCTGTATTCATTCATCCAACTACTATTTAATACTTACTATACATTAAGCACTGAAGACAGAGCTGAAACATAGAATAAGATATGGACCCTGACTGTTATGCATTTTCGATTTAGTGGGATAGAAAAAATTATGCAGAAAATTAAAATATACACTAATAAATAAAGATGCCACAAGTATTTCTACAAAGACTCACAATAGAGGAAAGAAAGGGAAGGGGTAACTAGCAAAGACTTTATGAATAAAGTTGTATTTGGGTTGAAGCTTAAAGGACCTGAACAGGTAAAGAGAGGTAGAATGGGTATTGCACACAAAAGGAGAGGCTTTATTTTTCACTTGTTTATTTTTTATTTGAAGGGTTTTCTTTTTTAAAATAGTTTTTAAACTTACATTTGGATAGAAGAGTAAAACCAAAACATTTTTTTTCAGAAACCAGAGATGAGAATGTGACTCTGGAAAGCATGACATCATAATTAATGCTACATTGAAAAGTGGTGCTTGTCAAGGTACAAATGGATCCCTATGAAGTTCATCATAGCAGTTAGCATCTGGAGAAAATGGTTGTAGTATACCCTAGAAACCAAGCTATGAGCTACTACTCACAAAGTATCATAAATTGAAAGGCTGAAAAGATGTCAGTAGTAAGTAAAACAGTAGGGTTTCAATTTACACATGAAAACTCAACTGTGCAGTATCAAAAAATTATATTTCATTTTCCTTCATACTGCAATAAATTCAGCAGTTTGAGATGCAAACATTCAAGCCAAAAGTGTTTAAAATGCAAATGGCATTTAGACAAAAGTAATGGTGACTATATGGATTATTAAAAATAAATATTTAATATTATAATATACATGAAAATAGGTCTTTTTTTCACATTTGTGGTTGGTTATGGTTATCAGTGAGTCCAATATCTAGGACTAACTAGGCATTATTCAATAAGTAGTACTCAGTGATTACAATCTATGCATATTCAGAGAATTTTTTCATGACTTTTATAACTATAAACTAAAGTTTTTATATAAGCTAAAAATTCAGCTTTCAGCTATTCTACTTTTATCCTTACACTGATATTTCTCTACTAGTCCCCATTTTATAATATGCCTTATAGTCCTCCTAAAAGAAAATATATATTTTAGCTATATAAGTCTGCAGGTAACTTCAGTCACTAACCTTGCTGTCTTCTTTCTCCTTGGCTTTTCCTTGGAGGGGTTTCTTCTCTCCAAATTCACAGGTTGATTTTAATGTGAACTGACAAGAAAGCATTGAGCTCTCTTTTTCAGCAAGTTCCAGAGGTCTTGAAGAATAGGGCTGTGGCCCAGTAGTGCCAAGATTTGGTATCGGAAGAGCAGTATGAATAGGCTTTGACCCAACAGCTGGCTGCCTCAGTTTTGAGGCAACCCCAAGTACAGGCATGGCTTCTATAAAAGTATCTTCTTGCTGCCAAAGAAAATGCTCCTAACCTCAGTCTAGTAGACTCCAACTTTAGTATTTCCAGAACAAATACTTTAAACAAAACTAGCAGTCATCCCGATTTTTTAAAAACTAATGATATAATATTCGGGAAGAGGCAAAACTTCCCTTCATCTTTAGTTAAGTACCTTTCTTTCTTGCTGGCTGGGATCAATCTCTCTCTCTCTCTCTCTCTCTCTCTCTCTCTCTCTCTCTCTCTCTCTCTCACTGTCTCCACACGCCCCCCCCCCCCTTCTTTTTCTGTTCAGTGAGTCAGTGTCTATGTAATACTAAATACTCCTTTGGGGAGTAAACTTCTCTTGAAGGTAACTGCTACAAAGCTCCTTCTCTCGGATTAAAGAGCTCCTAGTTTTGCTTTTTCTTCTAACTAAAGCAGTCTGAGTCTGATCTTTGAGAATGAAAAAAGGGGAAACAAAACAAAAACAAAAGGAAAAGCTCTTCAGTTCAATATTCAGAGCAGCTAAAAATCCACAATAGTGGAAGGACAGGAGTACTTCCTGACTTCAGAAATAACTAGCCTGCATTCTCTTTTTAAAGAAAATCGTATTTCCCCCAGCTCACACACACACAAAAAAGGACATGTTAATAGCCAAAACAAACAGCTGTTGGAAGAACTTTTAGCCCGGAAACAATCTCAGCAATAATGTTGTTTGTCTGATTTCCAGCTATTTTTCACTACTGACAGCCATGAGCCACAGTGTTCATTCTGCTTCATCCCATGAAATCAGGTTAAATTCACACAATAGTACAACTAGCTAACATGGCTAGATCACTCAACAGATCATGCCTGCCTAGTTTATTAAAATATAGTACACATAGAGAACAGGGCACTAAATATATACTAATTACTGTACCTGAATTTAATAATGAAGACAATGATAAACTATTGACTATTAATACCTATAAGGAATGTACTCCAGAGCAGTGATTGAGCTAAGCACTTCATGCATTATTGTATTTAATCTTTGGGATAACTCAAAGTATAGGCACATTTATTTTCTCCACTTTATAGGCAGGATAACTATGACTTGGAGACACTGAATAATTTGACCAAAATCAAGAAACTAGAAAGTGGGGAAGACTGTACTATTTTAACTTTAAAGATTAGTATTTAAAAAGAATTTAAAATAACATTGTTAGTCAAGCTTATTAAGTCCCACTTAAAATCCTAAGTTTCTAAAAAGTGTCCAAACAGATACCCAATGACAATGAATCATGGTGCTTCTATTCATAAAATTATTTCTTATGATGACTTCTGGTAAAAAGCATGTCAGGAACTATAACAAAAGCAAGAAGTAAATTTTAAAGAAAAGTATAACAAAAGCAAGAGATATAATGAAAACAAGAGGTAAATTTTTTGAAAACATATATTTTTCTGAAAGTGGTTGCACTTAGATAATGGATACAGTGATAAATTCCTCCATTATTTAGTAAAAGCTATATTTCTATGGGAGTATTAAGAGCTCAAAGCTATTTTTTAGTTTAATAACAGGATTTGATTTCATGTCTCCCATGTTTCTGTTGAAGAATTCTGTAAACCACAGATTTACTATTGTTTTTTCTTTTATTTAGAGTCGATCATACTCAGTGATCTATCACAGAAAAAAAGAACAGAGTATCATATGTTCTCACTCATAAGCGGACCTTGAACAATTATAATACTATAAGAAAGCAATTGGTAGTAGTGGGAAACTGTCAGGGGAAGGGGGGTGGAATTGGCAGATGAGGGAAACTGCTAGGGGAGGGAGGAGCATACCTCATCAACAAGGGTACCTGCATAATCAACGTTTGTATACCTAACCCTGAATTGTACTTCCATCTTTATAATAAAAAAATAAATAAATAAAATATAAGGAAAAAAAAGAAAACTTATGATACATTCACCAAATATTGTAGGAATTAGTAATAATGCAAAATTCTTAGAAAAATAAGTAGACACTCAGAATATACTCAATAAATTGTGCAATTATTAGAATCAGAACCATTTTTATAGAAAATATCTCTCTTTAGTGAATACCATCTTTGTTTCCAGCTCTGTAAATTAGTATGCACTTTTATGTGAGAAGACATAATTTATAGATGAAAGAGCTAGTAACTAAAGAAATATAAATATATTCTTGCTGATGCAACATACAGAAAGTAAAGTGCAAGTTAGCAATCTTGCAGATTTTTTAAAAAGTAACCCACTGGGCTTTACATGATGGAATAATAAGAACAATTAGTGGTGTCAAAGAAATGAAAGACTCTCTCTGAGAAAGTAAGTTACTTTGCAATTAACAAGTCATTCAACACACTATAACTTACAGAGACTATAAGATATTGCAGAGTTGGAGATGGTCATGTTTCTAAAATGGGGCTAAGGTCACACAACAAGACATTTGCAATGTATAATCCTCACATTGCAAATAAAATGACACCTAAATTAATAGAACTTGTGGGAAAAATAGATTCTAGGAAGACCATTCAAAACATACGCAACTTTGGGAGTAGATTGCTGGGAAAAATAATATTGGTACCTCAGAAGATAATTTGAACCACCCAAGGAAGTGGCTCAGCCCACAATTTTTTTTTTTAAATGAGTAGGAATGCTGGCAACACTTTAATTAGAATTTGTGGGAAATATCCAGTTGGAAGGCAAACTACAAGCCAATGGGTTTGCCATTAAAAGGGCACAGGGTCAAGGCAACCTGCAAATATGTAAGAGCTGCACAATGCCAGGGATGTATCCCTTTGAAGAAGCCCCAGATGCAGATACTCATTTTTTTGTTGTTGTTGTTTTTATTGTTAGTTTCTTTGAAACTGATCCAATAGGCTGCCTGTTGACTATACAACATTCAAGTTTAAGGATTTCTTTTCCCACCTAAGGTTATAGTTCTGTTCTGACTATTCTGCCTCTCTTTGCCTGGAAGTTACACATCATCTGCATTATACTAACATAAGTGTCCTATTTACCAATTGTAAATGAGTTAATTGGTATTTTAGAAACATATGTTGGAACAGAATGTACTGTAATTCCTGAAACAATTAAATAGAAAAAAAAGTGTTTACATTTAATAAAATATCTTTTTACTTTGAAGTGTTTTTTGTATATTAGACAATATATTTTACACTGACTAAAATATAGGGTAGCGGTAAATTAGTAGCCAATGTCAACTAATGTTTTGTAATAACATCCATCATTAAAAGCAACAAAACCAAATTAACTTATTATAGAAGATTTCCTGTGTGCCAGGAGCTGTCATCTCATTTTATCCTAAAAGAATACCATCGAGCCGGGCTCGGTGGTTCAGCCTGTAATCCTGGGCCTTGGAAGGCTGAGGTGAGTGAATTGCCTGAGCCCACGGGTTTGAGACCTACCTGGGCAACTTGGCGAGACCTCATCTCTACAATAAATCAAAAAATTAGCCAGGCGTGGTAGCGCACGCCTGTAGTTCCAGCTACTCGGAAGGCTGAGGCGGAAGGATCGCCGGAGCCCAGCAGGTCGAGGCTGCGGTGACCAGGAGCAGCCACTGTACTCCAGTCTGGGCGACAGAGTGAGACTCCAACTCAAAACAAATATAAAATACCATCATTTTGAGATCCAAAAGACAAGGGGCTGAGAGATAAAGTAATGAGCTTAAGGTCATAGTTACTTTGTATATTATCCTAGAGGAGACCCCCCCAAAACAATTATTTTTTGAAGGTCAGGCCCTTTGTAATACAGGCTTCCCCTCACTAGGTAAATGTTCTTGGAACCCATTGGCATCAGTGTATCAGCTAGCATTGTTGTGAGAGGCTGTGTTTTGCTTCAGTTAATTTATTTTATTTTATTTAAAGATTCTTTGGAAGCTAGGAAGTCTAAGGCTTAGAGGCCAAGATCCGGTGAGGGCCTAGGACCTTCTTGCTGTATCATCTCATGGTAGAAGTTAGAAGGGCAAGAGTGCACATGCATAAGAGAGACAGATAGGACTGGACTCACGTTTATAACAACCCATTCTGGGCCTGGGGAGGAGGTCCAAGATGGTTAACTAACGACATTAAGCAATTTGGGTTTGGTTAAAACAAATTATTTTAAAATTTCTGTTCCCTAACCTCAGAGTTTGTCTTCTGCAACTCAACTCACTAAATGTACAAGCATCATCTGATCCTTGTCATATTGTACGTACAAATTGGGGACTGGGGAAACAGCACAAGAAAATGATGATATTCTGGCTGTTGTAATTGCTGTGAATAATAAGCTATTATTGGTCTCTAATAAAGAAGCTTAGTGTCTTTGAATACTTGTTTTAATATCCTTGTCTGCTCATTTCATCGAATCCATGAATATAAGCCAGGTTAACTTGTTAGCTTGCAAGCAGAATAAAATCTCAGATTTTTCACATTTTTTGACAGCATTCAATTGTATTAACATTTTTTAATACTATCGGTTTTTGTTTTGTGTATTTTGAAGCTTTATCACTGATGTCATACATATTTAGAATTGTTATTTCTCTTAATAAATGGACTTCTTTAATATATATAATGAAAAGTTTTTCTTTATTTCTTACTTTAAAGTGTACTTTGTATAATATTTTAATTTTTGATTTGTATTTATTATCACTTACAATTCTTTCAATTTTATTCGTCTTATTCTTCTGTTTTACTCTAGGATCTATCATATAAATTTATCATTTACCATTAAGTTATTATAGTATACCTCCAAATCATATTATACCATTTTAAATATGATTTACAAACCTCACAATATTTTGTTATGTCCTCTTCACATTCTTATTCTAGTGTTTTCATATTTTTTCTATATATATATTAATGGGGTGCATTATTATTTTGTTCTATTATCAATTCTTTTAAAAATAAAAAAATGAGGAAACGTTATATTTATCCACATAATCACCATTTCCTGTGCTCTTCTTTGTGTAAATGGAAATCTTTATCTGGTATCATTTCACTTTACCTGAAATAACCTCTTATAACATTTTTTAAACTGCAGATTTGCTGGTTATGAACATGCTCAGCTTCTATTTGGCTGAAGAGAGATTGTTTTGCCTCCATTTTTTAAAGGGATTTTTTTTTTCTGGTATAGAATTCTAAGCTAACGATTTTCCTTCTTTAGAAAAGGTGCCACTTCATTGTATTTTCACTTCCACTTTCTAAGCAGATGTCTGCTGTGTGTCTGATCTTCATTCCCCTCTATATATCCTGGCTGTTTTATTCACTTTTGTTAAGATTTTCTCTTTATCATTCATTTTTAGCAATTTGATTTTTGATATTTTATATGTTTTGTTTATGTTGTATTATGTTCATTGACCTTCTTTATTGTTTTTATTAAATTTGGGAAATTTTGAACAGTCATTTTAAAAAATATTTTCTGCCTTTTAACTCTTTGCTTCATTTTTTCATACACTTAACTTCTATTACTATGCTTTCAAGTTTGCTAATCTTTACTTTTAGCAAAGTATTTAAACTGTCATAACCCTATCTATTGTGTTTCTATTTTTTATGCTGTATTTTTC